CCTCCTTCCGAAATACCTGATAGAGGAGGCGGGGGGGGGGAAGCTTGTGAAAGAAACACACCTTAAGAAGGAAGAGGGACCAGTGTGAAGGACACATACAAATGCGAAGATTAGAGGTGGGGAAAGAAACACAAAACCCAGCGCATGAATTAAATAATAATTTAAAAAAAAAAAAAAAAGAAAGAAAGAAGACGCAGCAAGGAAAAGTCAATGAGAGAAGTGAAGGCTGAAGTACAAAGGAAGGGAAATCGCCGTTGCTCCAATTTACAGACTGGTGATTGTCTGAAGGAGTTGTGCTCCCTGTCACCTAATCTCTTCCCTTGGCGGCTTGTTAGCGTTTGGCACGGGGTCTCTGCTCACAGAGCATTATACATTCGATATTCAAAAACCCTCCTTACATATACATCACTTGCTAATTTCGTCAGTGTGGGCACATTTCAGCGACTGATAATAGGACATTGTTATTTAAAGGACAAATAGCTCTGACCCATAAAGAGGCAGGAGCTCGTATTTTTTCCCTGCCAATTCCAGTCTGCCTCTTAAAAATAAAAGTTGGGATGAAAGAGGAGGCGAAATGCCGGATTTCTGCTCGAAACGAAGGAGGAGACAAGGGAGAGTAAAGAATGCAATTAAACCACGAAAGTAATGTACAGAATGTCAGTTTTTCTTTATGGTAAAGCATTGTTTTTCTCTATAGAGATAACTGGATAATACTGTTGAGTTGCAATCCGGAAACCTTTTGGTTTGGCTGTTTGCCGTTGTTTTTTATTTTCTGAACACTCTGGTAGGTTACATCTTTGCTTCTTCATGCGCACAAGCCATTTCGTTATCAAGATAATGTTTCTTTCAAGTATTTCAGATTTTCCTTCTCCGTCGCGTAGGTTTGTGCATAAGGTTTGTTGCTGTGACCCGCAGAAGCCCCAGCCCTTGGTAAGAAGTCTATCCATGGAAAAGAAAGTCCCAGCTCCTTTCTATAGGTTACCGAAGTGTATTTCATTCCGGTTGGTTTTCTTCCTCTTCCGTGCCTAGACTCCTTCTCGGAGATAAATCACTAGTCATTTCTTTCCTTCGTCTTTTTTTTCCCCTTGGAATGTAAATCCTTTTAAGACTGAGCTATTTTTAGTCTTTTTATTTTTCCGTAGGTGTCCACTTCTGGGGAGAGAACACGATTAAATAAACATCGGCTGTAGGTACATTAACTCGAAGGGAAGCCCGGGAGAGGGGCGAGTTCTTAATAACCCTGAGGCGAACGTTTATCTCGTTAAAGGTACTTCTTCTCGCTGGTCCATGGAAACTGAGGTGGCTTTGCTCAGCACGGAGGGCGTGAAAGTGAGGAAAGAGTCAGTCCTGGTTGTGGCCGAACAGGTAAAGTCTGATCCGGAGGGTCTCTGCGCCAGCCCGTTGGACTGGCCGCTGTGGCAAGCCAGGCAGGAGCAGGGGTTGCCCCCGGCGCTGCTGAGTCCATGAGTTGGGGCAGGGTAGAGGGAGGGATGCCTGAAGGCGCACAGCAGTTCTGGTCTCGGGTAGGGGTGGGAGAGGACCCTGAAGGTGTCCAGCGGCCTCAGGGGGGTACTGAAGGGGGTGGCGGCAGAGGCCGAGGTGGCTCCGATGCCCATGTGGGAGTAGTAGGGCAGGGGCAGGTGGGAGGGGAACGGGTAGGGCAAATTGCCGGTGGCCGCTGCGTGGCTCATCATGTAGGTGTAAAACGCCGGGTCGGCCGGGTGAGGCCAGGTCATGGCCAGGCGCTGCCGCTT